CAGGGTACCACCTTCAGCCTCTTGGTGCAATATTGTCACCACGACCGTCTGCTCGAGTTCGCGGACGATCTCCCCAACATGGCCACCTTCTGCTGACGCAGCATCGCACTTAGCGTTCGAGTAGGCGATGTGTTGTATGGAGGTGTACAACTGCCGCGTCTTGAATCACTTCTATCGCCGTGCGTCTATATTACCAAGCTTCTCGCTCCATTGACTGCCTCTTTCTTTTTACAAATATTGACCGAAGTAAATTTGACCTTCTTGTCTGATCAGCAGCCTTCTTAATGTAACCTACATACTTGCTGTCTTCTCCTCTTATGAATCTGACCAAAAGTTGCTCTGGATTCCTCAAATCACCTATTACTGAAACGTCTTAACGTTTCTTCTTGCGAATGCTATGCATCGTAGAGTGCGGTAGGGTACCTGAAAGACTGCTACTTGGAGAAGGCACACTTCTACAGTGGTGATTCCATTTGGCTAGGATTTTAGAATACCGAGAATGCCACCTGAAGACCGAGTAGGCGACATTAGGTTCTGCATCGAGTTCGTGTTTGGGCAATTTAATAGGGTGACAGAGTGAATGTTTTCTCTTCGGATTAGTTGTCTGGACTTCGCATTTCTTGGCCGAATACACTTTGAGTGGCAGTCGTTTCGATCCTGCATCGTGGTTGCGATATGATCTGTGCTGCTAAAGAGTGACTGTGATTTCGCTTCTCTCTTTCCTTCCTTCTGCAGGATGTCATTGTCAGAAGACCTCTTCTCAAGCTAAAAGTTCTTCTTCGTCTCGTCACAGGTGCGAGGATGAGGGTTGCTATTCCACCTTGTCTTGGTCTAATGGTAGTCAGGATGAAATTGGAGTGAGGTAATCCTACCAACTTGGATGACTGAACGCTTCTTTTGATTTCCACGATCCTCGAAACATTGTCATCTTCCAGTAAGGTTGTTACTCTTCAAATTCGTTCGTTTATTTGGTGTCTCAGTGCGCTACGCGTATTGGAGAAAGGAGGAATTTGTTTCCAGTGAGATTATTGCACGTTTATCCCATTACGCATTACAAGCATTCTCGTTTTTTTAAATTGTATGAGGTTCTGGTGTGACAAGTTGTGTTTTATCCCTCGTAAGACCTCTTAATTTTTGAAACACATCTCAATAATTTATGCGCAGATTAGTAGGAAAATTTATTGGGTTTATGGGGTTTTTATGTGCCTCTCCTCTCTGCCCCTCGTTCGTAGACTTTGCCGTTGAGATGTGTACAAGTAGTGTCCTCATGTAATCGCACCGCGGCTCAGTTTGAACACCCCTTGGGTGGCAAATCGTGGTCCTCAGAGTAGACCCTTTCCCTGCTTATTCCCGATCAGGTTTTCAGTTCACGTTGAAGTCCCACACCCCTTCAGTCATCACACCGTTCGGCCCTGAGCCACTTAGTTACTTTTTGAAGTGTTCTGCCTTGTGGTATGTCAACGTCAGGTGGTCGCTTGAAAGTCTACCTAGTGGCATTTAAATTATAAAGAGGCATTTTATAAGGGCCTTTGAGGCTTGGCTGTAATGCGAACCCTCTCCTTAACCATAATTAGTGCAATCCTTTAAAGGCGTTGCTCTTAGGTTCGGAGTAATCTACTCCATTTGTGGGAGACCCGGAAGAGGTCACTGATCTCCTATCAATTGGTTCAAACTTTCTTGCTTCGGTCTTATTTGTCCCCCGTTTTTCCTCCATAGGATGAAAAGGTGGAAGGACCGCCCTCTCCTTGCATACGAGGTCCTTCTTCACCGCGACGTGGAAGCGATGATAGAGTCTGTTAATCCATCGTTTCTTACCTCTCCTGCACCTGCTTTAATTATCTGAATTTCTATTTGTCTGTCCATCTTTTAGCCACGACGCATCGAACGAAGCCGATGTCCAGGCAAGGGAACACTTCGCATCTTCCCGGCACCGCCACCATCATCGGCATTTTGACAGTGCACAGGGCATATCCGACGGAGATCGGCGAGATCGCTGAATGAATTCAACTTGCGCCAATTCCCCTGCAATTGGTGTGGCACATTATGGTGCTAAACGGAAAAGAGGCATTTTTCCATTATTCCCTTCTGTTCTCCAGCCAATGTTGGGACGTACTTGTCAATCTCCCATGAAATGAGTTGCACCCCAACCTAAATCATTCGAACCCTTGTAATGGACATTGTTGCTGGAACATGTTAATCCACTTGTTCTTTTTTGATCAGTCACTTTGGAGGTGAAGGTGGTCATTAGCGTCACCTTAATGGTCATGGACGTCGTGAGGACCGAGAGAGAGGAGGTGAGGTGAGGAAAAGAAGTAGTAGACAGAAGTTCAGCTGTGACGCCATCATCGAAGAGGGGAGGTAGGGAGCGGTGTAGGAAGTAGTGCAGAACGAACGTCTGTGGAATTAACTTGATGCGGTACAATCTCGCCCAACAAGGAATTGGGTATGAGAATCTTATGCGAACACTGAGTTAAGGCACAGCTTCTGTGAGGAAGGTTGGGCCGGGGTAGATTTCAGTCCACCCGGTCACTTGTGATGGCTGAATCCGACGAATGAACCGTTCGGGACGAGGAGGAGGGGGAGAGGAATCAGGCCAGAAAACGTCGCTCAAACTGCGATAAACGCTTTGTGAAGTGTTTCATACTTTACTATTGTATTTAGTTAAGTGAGCCTTCCGAACTCCCCACAATTTCACCTCTACGTGCGTGTCATGGGGTTCATTTGTTCAGTCTAGTTCCCATTTAGACAGTCATTTCTGAAATGACAGACAAATGTGTCTATTTTTGGTCAAAAGCTACTTCTACTAACCACAATGGCAGCTAATCAGGCAAATATTCACCAGAAGCACACTCTGCTTATCACTTGAGAGCCCCTTTTCGAAGCACGACTGCAGGTGTCGGCAACGAAACCCTGACCCTATCAACTGGCACGATTGCTAACTTTTCCAGTAGAGACATCACAAAGGGCGTCGCATTTGAAGCAGACTGGGCTGTGAGGTACACCTTGAGCGCACCAATTCCTCATAACTTTTTTTGTCAATTGAAAGGTTTATGAATGAACTGAAATGTAAGGCGGAGGAAGAGAATAAGGCAAGTACCTTTACTTTGTTGGAGTCCACGCTTCTTCATTTGTACCAACGTGTACCTACATGCATTGCCAGCGATACCATGCATCGTGTCAATCCATCAATTTTCCTGATTGAGGTGAGAAAACGGCATTAAGTGCTAGTGGCAGCAGGAAAGGCGACTGCAGAAAGATGAAGAGAAACCGCAAATCACCGCCACCCAGTCTGCCTTGCGTGACCCACCCATCTGTCCATTCACACTCAAACATCAACGAAATCGTCAACGAGATCGCGAACCATGCTTCTATTCAACACTGAATGCACCTCGCATTATTACCACCCAATGTAGTCTTCCACTGCATCTTCCATAATGAAGTTCAACAATGTTGGTTTAGTTTTACTTTAGCAAAATACACTATCATGCGAGAAAACTTGTGAGCTAAAAACCTGCCTTTTCACCACTTGCCAAGGGCATTTGTATTAGTTCCCCTCTAATTCACGTCAGTAGCAAATTCGTCGTCAAGACGCCACACCTGTAAGCAAAAGGAATGGAAGCCAAACCGATTGTAGGCGTAAAAGCTGACACACTACACATTCCAGAATGCATTCTGCTGAAATAACAAACAAACCGAGGAGACTAGAGTGCACCGCCTGCAACATTTGCACGTCCATTTCTCTTCCAAAAAACGTATCATCAGCCAGACACTGGATATGCATAGTTGTACATCAAAATATGATCAGCTACTGTGGGTTCCGCCTTCAACTTCAATGCCGATCATTAAGAGAGCAGCCAATGGGACAAATGGAATTCAAATGCTGCCGTCGTGCCCTCCTCCCACTCCAGCCACCGGCGCCAACGAAATTAGCTTCCACATGTCCCCGTCCAAATACACAGTAAAAACAACAGCTTGATTTAAAGAAAGGTGGTTGTTATTAGGGAAAGCAACAAAGGTGTTGCAAAAGTCCGCATTTCATGGGAATAATTCCGACTCAAGGAAGAGCAACGGGGACATGAGAAGGCAGAAAGGATAAGAGGAGGATGAAATGGGGTAGACATGCGGGAATAGGAGAAGACGTGTGCACCTTATAAGGGCATGGCCAAATCCCACTCCACCATCATCGCCAACCTGAAGGGACGAAGCGTGATGACAACGGCGACAGAGACGCTGTCCGCTTATAGTAAAGAGGGCGGATATTCATCCACTCACTACTTTTTATACGTAAAATAATTTGATTGATAAGCAGACAATAAGTTGTAAGCCGCTTTATTAGCAGTCAAAGGACTGTCATGACAGTGGGTCCTCATCACACTCGTGTCGTCTTTATTGTCACGCATTATCACAATAGTGGATGTGAGGTAATAAGTAAATTGCGCAGACGCTGTTGTTTTGAATGTGGATACGTGTGGTGTAAAGCATCGGCCTCAGCACTTGATGGGATTTCCCCCCCAACTGGCCTTATCATCATCACCCGTTAGAGCAAAGCCAATGGAGGTACCGGAATTGCGAGGGCTTGATGGACTTCCTTGCATCTCACGCAAAGCACTCCTCTGGCCACGTGTTGCTGGCACACGAACCACATCCACTGCATTGGCGGTTGGACCATCTGTGTTCCATCAGACGACAGCACCCTCTCTTGACGCATCGCATGCTTGCACACCACTCCCCTCTCAAGCGATGTGCCATGACTTTTCACCCAACCCATGTGCATGGCAATGACAGTCTCCCATCCTCTCGACGATGCTGGGACAACCTACCTTCAGGATGTGTGAAGTATGTTGTCTAACCACCTGGCTAATTACCGTGTCAGTCCTGTTTGAATGACAACACTCAAAGTCGGACATTCGCATCGCATAGGACCTCAACAGCCCACTTCACA